AGCAGTCTTGATACGCAATCAAAGTTAGAGAAAGATTTTCTCACAGAATCCTATTAGCTTTTTGACATCTCGACTAAGAATTTTGAAAAAAATGTTCTTGCAGATAGATTGAGAACAGATGATGCCAAGCTGGAAGATATTAAATAAGTTCATTAAATAACACTTTTTTTAGTAGTGAGATTTTCTTTCCGATTTAAAGTAACTTAAGTAATAGCATATTATTTCCTTTCAAATATTTACGTTTAACTCTTTCAATGGTTTGCTCATCTTCCAAGAAAAACTAGAACAATTATTAATTTATTTATAAATGTCTTAATATATTTAAATATTTCTTATTTTTTATGAAGAATAGAAGTTGGATATGAAATGATATATGGGAACAAAAGTCGATGAAGACTACAGTAGGAGAGTACTGGATGCAAACAAAAGAAAGAACAAGCTAAATAAGTTGAGAGATAAAAAATTAGAGACAGAAAAACTTAAAAGATATCAAAGATGTTTTGTTGTGACATGACTGCATGACAGAAGAGATTTGATTCAGCTGTGAGGAAGAAAAATCAAACAAGGATTCTAAAATTAGCAAAGAAGAAGATTTTTTTTCAACTATGTTATTATTTTAATAACATAGTTGTAATTTTTACAAGCTAAAACTGTTTTATTGAAAAGTATATAATTATAAATAGGTAGAAAAGTATTATAAAATGATATCTAGGTACAATTCTAGAGAGAGGATAAATCTAGCAGTGAATGTTGAAAAGCTCATTGAATGTACTGCTATTCCAGCAACAAGGTTCAATGTTGATGTACAACCTCATCTGGCAATTTTAAGTGAAGTATTTAAAGCTAGAGGTATAGAAATTAATGATATACCGCTTTCACGAAGTACACTTTATAGAAAAAAGTTCAAATATGTAGAACTTGAAGGAGACTTGAAGTGGATTTCAATAACTAATCATCTTAAAGGCCGACTTATTCTTCATTTTGATACCAAACTGTTGGAACAAATTACCACTGGGTTTAACATTATTCAAAAAATTAAGCAATTTGCAGTCTTAGTGAGTTCCCTGGATGATGATACCATAGAAGACCATCTTTTAAGTGTTATTCAATGTCCCTCTTCAAAGGGAGTTGACCAAGCAGAACAAATGCACAATCTTTTAGAATATTACGGATGTAAAGAACAGATCATTGGTATATGTTGTGATACAACTGCAAGCAATACAGTCAATGGAGCAGTCCAAATTCTTACAGATATTTTGAAAATACCAATTTTGTGGATGTGTAGGAGACACATATGAAGTACATGTATCTCACTATATGGCTGCTCTTACTGGTGAAAAAACTAAAGGTCCAAGAAGAGCTCTTTATGTCAAGCTAAAGAACAAGTGGTCTGACATCTGTAAGAAAGTTAGCGAAGTGAAAAATTAAGTTAATTGGAATGGCAAAAAGATGATCTGAAGATTGGCTCAGTTCTTCGCACTGTTGCAAAGGAAGCTAAGACATTTGACTAATGCAACTACTGATATGGTGTTTTCAAAAAATGATTAAGGTATAGTTTGTAAGCTTGCCTTCTTCTTCCTTGGAGCGGAAGTACAAGATTTTAAGTTCCATTAACCTGGCGCCTGCCATAAAGCAAGGTTTTTAGCAGATGGGATCTACATCCTGGCTCTTTATACGACCAAAGATATCAGTAATATCTTGACAGAAAAAGAAGTGCTGCATTTGAAAGATGCAAGTTTGTTCATTGCAGTTTGCTATGTTCCATGGTTTTTGAAAAGTTTTTAAGGATTTCTGGCCCCCTAAAATGATTTAAAAGCTATCCAGACAGCCTGTGCATTAAGAAAAGTCAGTAAGAATATTGGAGATGCTTTGCTTCTTAGCATGGGAAAACAAAAGTTGGTACTTAACTGTGCAAGTCTGTGTTTTGTCCTTTGGGGATAATGTAGTTCTTTCTGAAAAAAGCTAAGAATGCTGATTGAGTTTGAAAAGCCAAATGAATTTTAGCGTTGAAAACCATCAAATGTACATTTTGGAGAGACCACAGAGCTACATGAGTTTATTTCCGAGCATAGCTATCTTCTCTTCAAACATTTAAAAATATCAATAGCAAGTATAAAAGGATTGGTTCAATAATATTCTTAATACTATAGATGTTTTTCACCATCCTCAAATGCTAGGTTTTATTGCGTGGATCAAAAACATATCTGCTGTAAATGATGGTGCAGAAAGAAATTTTAAGCTCATTTAAGATTTTATTTCAGCTACTAGAGATGAAGATCACCTTCAAAATGAACTTTTTGTAGTTAAAAAATCTAGGAAAAACTTGACTAAGAGTATGACTAAAAATGACCTTGGGAACTGTTCAAAAAGTTGTATTTTTGAGAAATGTTTCACCGCAATAAAATCTTAAATTTGCTAATAAAAATTAGTTTTCATCTATTTTTTTTTTGTATTTTCATATTTATAAATATTAACTTTGAAGTCAAATAGTAGCAAAAATAATTGGAAATAATATATACGCATCTAATTGTTTTGTTTTATTTTTCTAAAATGTAAAAATTGTGTTTTTTACATCTAGCACTTCCTGTCAAAACAAAACCGTCTATTTTTTTTTTAGGACTAATTTAGGTCACATAGAATGGGAATCAGTAGAGAGCTTTTTTTTTTTTTTTTTTGGGACACCCTAGGGTAAGGCTCTAAAACTCTAAAACTCAGTTTTATAGTTCTGACTGGCTTTGCTCTAGTGTCAGTGACTCTGCATGCATTAAAGCCCACAACTTTTGCATTTCTCAATCCCTAACTCAAATAATCAACTTTCCAACTTGCTTTCCAGACAACCCGAATCATTTACCTTCTCTTCTCGACTTATGTCTTGTTTCTGATCCTAGCTAGTTTTCAGTTTCTCCTCATTCACCCTTAGGTGCCTCTGAACACAGTTTGATCTCTCTATTATAAAACTATTATCTCATTCTTCTTTGTCATCAGAATCCCCCTATCATTGTACATCTTACATTAAAGCTGACTAGGACTTTTTCCGTGATTTTTTTGTGAAGGTTCTTGGGTAGAAATCTTTCGTCTTTCTGTTGAAAAATGTGCTTCTTACATAACTTTGCAGATTCAGGCTGGCATGGAATCCTTTATTCCCTCTAGACAATTCCAGGTCAAGCCTCACTCTTCTCCATGGTTTTCCTTGCATTGTGTTGCTGCAATTGCCAATCGAAACCATTACTTCCATATCTATCAGCAAAACAATTCTCCAGAAAACAGACGTCTGTTTATTACTGCTAGGAACCATTGTAAAAATGTTTTGTCTAACGCCACAGCCTTCAAATTCTCAGATTGTGAAATCTTATATTTCATCACAAAAATCAGGCTCTTGTGACTTCAGGAGAATCTTTGATAGTATCAATTATAAGGGCAAATTCATAATTCCACCTCTCTTGTATGGTTCAGACTTTGTCACATCACCAAAAGACAAAGCTAAATTGCTAGCTAAGAATCTTTCATCAATATCATCTCTTGATTCCGCTAGTTGCGTTCTACCTGATATAGCCGCCAAACAGATTGATCCATTGCTTGACATTTGTATCACTCCAGCTTCTGTATCTAAAGTGGTTTCCTGCTTAGACTCTTCTACAGCTTGTGGCATGAACAACATACCTGTTATAGTCTTGCAGAAGTTTTCTCTGGAGCTGTCATCTATCCTTTCAAAACTATTCAACAAGTGATTATCAGAGTCTTGTTTTCCAGCCTGCTGGAAAGCAGCATCTGTTATCCCTATTTTTAAAAATTCTGGAGAGCGATCTGATTTCTCTAACTACCGTTCCATTAGTCTTCTTTTTATCATAAGCAAGGTTTTTGAATCTTTAATTAACAAACACTTATTCTCTCATCTTGAATCTAAAAACTTACTTTCTGATAATCAATATGGATTTTGATCTTCTTGTTCTATGACTAATTTGCTAACAGTAATAACCGATAGGTTTTATCGCGCATTAGATAAAGGTGGAGAGGTTAAAGCCATTGCTCTTGATATTTCTAAAGCTTTTGATAAAGTTTGGCATGCCAGTTTTCTCCATAAGTTTTCTTCTTATGGCATATCTAGAAACATCTTTAAGATTATTGAATCCTTCCTTTCCAATCCTTGTATAAAAGTTGTCCTCGATGGACAGCACTCTTCTTATTCTGTAACCTCAGGGATTCCTCAAGGTTCAATTCTTGGCCCTATACTCTTTTTAATTTACATTAATAATCTTCCAGATGTTTTCGCATCTAAGGTGGCTTTGTTCGCTGATGATACTACTATTTATTCTTATCTTGATAAAAAGCCAACACTCTCTGATTGCTTAGAGGGGCCATTTGAGCTTGAAAGGATCTCACTTCTGCTACACCATGAGGCTCACAGTGGCTGGTTGATTTTAATTTAGATAAAATTCAAATTCAGATCAAATCGTCGTAATGTCGCTTCTCTTTCTCTTTTCTACAATAATATATGTAATAACATAATGTGCCATCTACTAAAATTCATTTTTGTGTTACTCCTCATTCAATTAAGTCTCATCCTTTTTCTGTGACTGTTCCTAAGTGCTCCAAAAACTCTTATTTGTCTAGTTTTTTCCCTCAAACATCAGTTCTTTGGAATTCGCTTCCTTCATCTTGCTTTCCTGATGATATAATTTGCAATCTTTAAAGTTGTCTGTTAATCGTTATCTTGCTTTACAATCTTCATCTTTTCTCTTCCAGTAACTTCCAACCCTAATTAGTGGTTGCTTGCAGCCTTGTTCGAAGTGAAGATTTTTGAAAAAAAAAAATTTAAATATATATATATATATATATATATATATATATATATATATATATATATATATATATATATATATATATATATATATATATTTAATTAAATAATATAATTAAATAATATAATTTAAAAATAATTTCAAAAATGTTGTGTTCAATTAAATTTACTTAAGTTTCTTGAATCAATTTATTTTTTATAGATGCTAGTCCATTAGTATGTCAAGTACGAGGTGCTGCCAAGAAAACTGCAGGATCGTGTCGTCAGCAGAATCATAACAGAAAACGTAAAGGCAAGCGTTACGGCCCAAAGTTTTTATTTGGTATATTCTTTTTATTTTTATTTAGTTCTTTTTTAGTTTTTATGCCTAGCTATTGTTGTTGCTGGTGATTTAAAAAAAAAATATTTTTCAACAAATAATAATCAAAAAATTTAAAGTAAAATAAAAACTCTTCTCAAAGGCGAATGGTACTTAGGTGAGCTGACTCATTTGCTGAGCTATCCCGGAGAACAAGCCAGTTTTAAAATTGCATTTATATGAATATGCGAATTCTTTTGCGCAAAAAAAAAAATCGATATAGAGGTCAGTCTTGCTGTTTGTAGCAGGGCTGGCCTCTTTATCAATAAAAAAATAATTGTAAAAATAATTTCAAAATGACAGCTGTGCACAATTAAATTTATTCTATTTTAACAATTCGTTTAACTTTTAACACAAATAATGCAATAACACAAATAATGCAACTTAAAAGCTTAATAGTGTATAAGCTTCACAAATTCAATTTTGATTGTTTTTTCAACATTATTCTTTTATGTAATTGTTCAAGAGCGCTTTAAAAGCGCTTAAAAAGAAAAAATCGTAGCTACTTGTTTAAAACTGACCAAACTGATTTATGGTGGCAAAATATAATAACTTGTATAGTTCCCAGTGATGTGTGGAAAAAATTTTGTAGGCTTTCATGTTTTCTTTTCATGGATTTGGTTTCAGAGTTAACTCCTTATTTATCTCTTGATCTTTTTTCACCTAACTCTAGAGCTTTATCAGCAGATCAAAAGGTAGCTTAGGTAGGTATACTTTGTTCTACTTGAAAGATACTAAATCTTTGGGCATGACTGCAAATACATTCGGAATCGCACTGCTTTTGCTATTATAGTTTCAATTTGTAAGGCAATATGAAAGTATCTTGGAGTATAATATCTATTTCTTCCAAGAAATCAAGCTGAAGCAAAACAAAGTTTCAGAGTTTGAATGTAAGTTTGGAATGATACAAACCTTTGGATGCATTGATGGCATCCATATTCCAATTTTTCATCCACTAATTAACTCACAAGATTTTTTTTTTGCTATAAGCAATACTTCTCCCTAAATGTTCAAGCTGTGTGTGAATACAACAACTATTTTATGGATGTTGAGTGCATGTGGCCTAGTGTACACGATGCTAAAGTGTTTGCAAGTTCAACAAAAAATATAAAGTTAAGAAATACTGTTCTTTCTTAAACATTTCAAAAGCCAATAAAAAAGCAGAGATGGTATGATTGGTGATCCAGATTTTAAACTAGAGGTTATTCCTACTTTTGTTTATGCATGATTTGAAAAATTCTTATGTTGATATCTTAGATTATCTTAGATGACCTAGTTAATATATATATATATATATATATATATATATATATATATATATATATATATATATATATATATATATATATATATATATATATATATATATATATATATATATATATATATATATATATATATATATATATATGTATATATATATATATATATATATATATATATATATATATATATATATATATATATATATATATATATATATATATGTATATATATATATATATCTATATATATATATATATATATATATATATATATATATATATATATATATATATATATATATATATATATATATATATATATATATCAAGTTTTAACTTTATCCCAATTAATTTCTTCTCTACAATGTTTTTTATAAAAAGATATTAGGGATAATAATGGTATCCAAGGTTAAGAGATTATTATCCCCAAAACTTAGCAAAATTATTATCCCCAAAACTTTATTTTTTATTCAATTTATTTTATTATCCAAAACTTTATTTATTATCCTATACATTATTATCCCCAAAACTTAGAAAAATATTTCGGAAAGCTGGTTACCGCACTGCTTTTAAATCTAATCATAATTTAAGGACTCTACTAACATTAAAAAACAAATTGAGGCTGCCGGGCAACAGTAAACCTGGAATTTATTTAATTGAATGTAAATACTCCAAAGTGTATGTTGGTGAAACAAAATTACAAATTAGAACAAGATCTCAACAACACCAAAAATGTTTGATGGAAGATAAGTATTATCAGTCGGCTATAGCTCTTCATAAAAAACACTGTAGAAAAGAAATTAATTAAGATAAAGTTAAAACACTTAAACAAGAAGACAGTAAATTTGATAGGAAAATTCGTGAAGCATTAGAGATTCAAAAACATCAATGCTTTCCATTTGATGGCGGAATAAATTTAGATAACGGACAATAGGCTAAAACTAAATTTTGGACTCCATTTTTTGCATTCTTGCGTCAAAGAAGTCGTTCTAACGCTGACGTCAAAGTTCAATTTTTGTTATTTATTATAACGGTCATAATTGTAATTTTTTAATTACGATATTATAGCTGCTGATGCTGGTAACTAATTTCAAATAAATTAACAATAGTATTGAGAGAACTCGTATTCAACAGTATTGAGAGATATACTCTCATACAAGATGTCAACATTTAAATCATATATATATATATATATAAATATATATATATATATATATATATATATATATATATATATATATATATATTTAATAAATAAACATTTTTAACATTATTTGTCAAAATTGTTTTTAAAAATGTTTGTTTTTATTTATTCTTAACATTTTCATTTGTATTTTTTTCTAGGTAAGTATTTGTTGGTAATACCAGGGGACTAGGTTTCATTTGTGAATATATGTTTGTTGGATGTTGATAGAACTTATTTTGACTTAATGATTGTTGTTGATTTTTATTATAGCATGTCTCAAAAGATCAATAGAACAGCTATTTCCCAAGTTAATCATTGGTTTACTTACAGTTTTAATACTTTCTGTAAAACATTTTGTTGACTCTCGCATTGCTTCTGTCATTTCTTTTTTAAATTGAATATTGTCTCTAGCTTCTTTGAACAGTAGCTTCGTTGAACAGTTTAGTCATGCTGGGAAGAATTTAAACTTTCTTCCAAGTGCTTACTTTTGTTTTCAATGAGTTGTGATGCACAACTTTTTCTTTTTTTAAGATTAATAGTTTTATCTACTGCATCATTGTTGTGTCATCACTGGCTCTACCTCTTTTAATAAGTTTTGATCAATTTCTTTTTTTTCCGAGTTTCCTCGATTTCAATAAAATTATCTCCTTTTACACCATATCTAAGTGGTTCAATATTCGCTGAACCACCCCACAGAGAAATTAGCTAGTCATAAAACTCAAATAATGGGTTATGACTAAAAAATGGTAAAAAATTTGAAGAGACATAACTATCTTAGTTCATTGGATAAAAGCTTAATTTAAAAAAAGAAAAATATAGTATTTTATTAGGGTAATTTATTTATTAATTAATTTATTTCAATCAAACCATTGCATCTTACGTAGTCTAATCGGCGCCGAGTTGACTCAGAAAGACTAGAGATTTTTCCATTTTAGAAAGACAATACTTTATTCTATTGTGCAATTTTCATATTATTCTCATGATATTATTCTCACACTTGGAGAATACTCTTAAAATCGTCTTTGAGAATACTCTTAAAATCGTCTTTGAGAATACTCTTAAAATTGTCTTTGAGAATACTCTTAAAATCGTCTTTGACAATACTCTTAAAATCGTCTTTGAGAATACTCTTAAAATCGTCAATTAGATGACATTCAGACATTTGCAGGATTATCTTTTGGCAAAATTGATGTTTTTCTCATTCATATAGTTTAGTACAGATTTGTATTTGACGATGCCAGATCAGGCCAAAATATGTGTTTACCATGAGAATGATACTTTTTGATAAATGGAATTAGTTTGTTCTTGATACAATCATTTTTGTAGACTTTTTGGTTGATTGCAAAGCCACTTTCTCTAAATATTAGCGAAGATATTCTTTTATCGTAAAAGCAAATCCAAATCATCTTTTTTGGCCAGATTAAGGACTTTGTTTTTAATGTTTTTCCGATATATACTTGACTGCACTTAAATTTCCAAGCTGCTTGTGTTTGCGTTATGCCGGCTTTGTGGTCAAACATTGCTTTAAGTCTTTTGATATTCCTTTTTGTTATTATTTTAGCAATTCTACCACTTCTAGGGAGTCTTTGGTGCCCAGAATTATTTTCAACACATCAAATAATGGTATATATGGTATTAATAGGAATTTTTTCAAATAAAAGTGATCAACAGTATAATTTTTCCCTTTAGATTGATTTAAAAAAAAGTTGTACAAACGCTCTTGGCGGGCTTCTTATTTTTCTTTCATTTTTCTCTGTAACAATAAATTATTTTAATTTAAAATAAAACAAGTTTTGTAAAGAATTAAAAATGCTACAAACTAGGTAATAATGTAACCATAGTTAATTTAAAGTATGTTACATTGTCTTCAAAGTCATTACCGTTTTTTAGTTATAACCCATTAGAATTTCACCACTTCCACTTTGACTGCTATTTACAATTGCTTTCAAAAAATTTCATCAGATTTATTTCAATTTTTCTTGAGCTCGTTTAATCCCTTGTTTTATTGCTTCTACACCTTTAATATAGAAATATTTAAAATAAAAAATTGAAGTTCAATTTTCTATTTTAATATTTTCTAATTTAATATTTAAAATAGAAAATTGAACTTCTCTATATAAACCAAATTTATCCGCATCAAAGTTAAGGTTTTTATAAAGCATTCTTGCTTTATAAAAACCTCGCTGATTGTACAATTTATAAGGTTTTCTATCCCATTTGAAGTTTTTCTTTTTTTTTTTGTCAATAAAATTGTCCATTTCGATTTAGAGTTGTCTGCAATATAGTTATAACTGCAAATAATAAAATTGAAATAGGCATATTTGCAAATGATTAAAAGCAAAAAAAATTTAAGAACGCGGAAGTTGGCAGTAATAATACATGGAAGCTTTTAAATTAAAAAATGTCAAAAAAAGCAAGCGTACTAATTTAAATAAGAAAATTATAGTAGAAATCACTCAGCCCGTTTGCCAAGATCTTGGCAAAAAACAGTAAGATCTTGCCATCCGGGCTAGCTTGTTTGTTCATATAAACACAAAATTAAATTAATTTAAAATGATGATGACGTCGAGAACTCAATAATTGGTCTAGCTTTGCAAACAAGCCAGCTCGCTTTCCATAACACTACTAGTATAATACAAAAATAAAACTTTACCTGTTTATATTGTGGATTTATAATGCAGTTGCCTAATTTGTTTAACATCATATGAGTTTTTCTTTTTTCTTCAATTAAATGTTAATTCTATTGAAAATTTATGCTATAAGAGGAATAATTTAAGGGTTTGTAGAATTTATATACTTTATTGTTATTTTTCTTTTAAAGTTCTCATATCAATGTTTCCTTTTTAACGATGTCTTCTTATTCTTATGATGTCCTATAAAAATTCTTCTCTTATTGAAAAATTTTATTGAAAAATTTTTTATTTTTTTATTTAAATATTTTATGCATTTATATTTATTTATTTTAGTATTGATATTTTTACTTTCTATAATAAAAATTAAAATTAAATCAAATTTAAAACTTTTGGTTTTAGATCAGCTAGTTCAGCCTGGTCAAATATTATTTCGTCAAAAAGGATTTCGAATGCATCCGGGTAGAAATGTAAGTTTTTTTAAGTAACAATAGTAATAATGTTCAAAAGAAAAAAGTAATTAAAAAAATAACAAATATGTTTAAAACAATAACAAAAATGTTTGTAAATAAAACAATCAAAAAGTTACTACGAGCTTTCCTAAAAAAAATTTTTATTCATAGAAAATTGTTAAAAAAAACTTCATGGTTTCTTCAATGTGTGAAAATTCTATATAAATTCTTAGATATTATAAAAAGTAATAAACTTGTTGATGTACCTAAATATAAAATAAATAAACTTGTTGATGTACCTAGGATAAAATAAGTAAGTACCTTCTAAGCTTACTGTTGTTTGTTGATTTGTGACCCTATGTTATTTTTTTGTTGTTGTTGTTTTCAAATATCCATCTGAGAAATAGGTAGAACATTCAAAGAGCATTGACTATGGTTCATTGACTGAGGGTTTTGGTTTGGGCAATCTTTCAATTAAAGGCAATCTTTCAATTAAAAATTTTGTTTTTTAATTCTATAAACTTTTTCTGAACTTCTAAATTAATTAAAAAAAAAACAAAAAAACATAAAGGTTACATTTTATTTATAATTAAAGACGACCAAGTAAAAGTAATATATATTACCATATAAAATTTATAACCCTCTTAAATTAAAGGGAATTCAAATTTTATATGGTCATAATACTTGAATGCTGAAAGATTATGAAATTTAAAAGTGAAATTTAAAAGTGGAGAGGGTTTCGACCTTAGTGGTCACTTTAGAGAACAGTGAAAGTGATACAACTTAATAGGAATGTTTTATAATATTATTTAGCATAAAACGTATATGATGCAGTGGCTAGAGTGCTTGCTTTGGAATTGAGAGGTTCAAAGTTCCAGGACATATCTAGCCATATTTGCAAAATCAGTATGGAAGTAAGTCTCTAAATTATATGCTCTACTGTGGTGTTCTGTGACAAGATTGTAAAGACTTTTTTAGTAAGCACCTTAAGTTACTAAGCACTTTAAGATCCAGATTTAAAATATTTATTTATTTATTTAACATTGAAAATATATCTATCATATTTCTCAAAGGGGATACCATTTATGGTATCCTCAAAGGGAAAACCATAAAACATAAAAACGAGGTCAGCAATTCTTAGCCAACCTCAAACACTTCTAGGTTGGCATTTAGGTTGAAAGGTCTTCTTTTTTTCTGCTTCCTAATCTTGAATAACTCTAATTATGCTAGCTGTTCTTTAAAGATGCTTACTCTAAGATCAGCGTTATTATACAGTGCTACATTTTTTTTTTGGTACTTTGGATGATTATTGTTTAGCTTATACCTTGACCAATGTTGATATAAGTCTTGATGAACAGCTTGTTCACTATATGGCCCCAAAAGGGATCCATTGTGAGTGATGAAATTCTTTGTGACTGATGAAATCCTTTGTGACTGAAATGATGAAATCCCTTGTGTCTGATAAAATCCTTTTGTGACTGATGAAATTTTTTTTGACTGATACAATCATTTGTGTCTGATAAAATCCTTTTTGTCTGATGAAATCCTTTGGGATTGATGAAATCCTTTGCGACTGATGAAATCGTTTGTGACTAATGAAATCTTTTGTGACTGATGAAATCCTTTGTGACTGAAGAAATCCTTTGCGACTGATGAAATCCATGATGTGGTAGAAGACTGTGTGAATTTTTCAGCGAAATCTGGCTAAAGGATAAATCCAAAGCATGCCTTGACAATTAGATTGAAACTTTCGAATGCTTCAATTATGTGAACATTGTTGGAAATAATTGTTTATATCAGCAAGTTGCTACAGCCTACTTTCAAACAAAACCTCAGTGGGAGATTATCAGACAATCTTAGTTTGTTTATAAGTGTGATGAACAAAATAAAAGCTCGTAAACTGAATACAAGGTTCAATAATTTGTTATTATTATTATTATTAATCAAAATACCTAATATAATTTCTTCAAAGAATAAATTTTGTTTGTGTTGTGTGATATTTTTTTACTGTGTTTATAAGTGTTATATATATTTCTTTCTCATTAAATGAAAATAAAATTGTGTATAATTTTAGAACTGGCTCAATTTACAAGGAAGGGCAAGTTTATTAAGTACAAATATTGCAAAAAAAGCATATTTTAATAGTATTTGACATATAATATACTTAATTATTATTATTATGATTTTTTGTAAGTACACTGATACTAAATCGCAATAAGTTTTAAAATTGAAATAAGTTTCAATTCTTTTTCTTATATTTTTAAACCACAATCAGGAAAATAATGTATGAGTTTTTTTGAACTTAATTTTAGAGAGTCTTTAAAAATTTGTTTCAAGTCCCACTTACACTTCTAAGTACATTTTTCCAATATAGCTATGATAGCTCCATAATTGGCTAGTTTTTTTGTGGTTTTTTTTGCTTGTTCACTGAATTTTTTTAATTTAATGACTAAAAATAAGATAAATATAAAAAGCCTTAAAAATTAAATGTAAAGTTTAATTTCAAAGGAACGTAAAATAGTTTTGCAATATTTATTAAAGAAATTTTTTTCTTATCATCTGCTAAATCATTACATAAAACATAAGTCTCTCCATCATAGGTTAATATTTGTAAAAGCAAAAAAAAATAATTTCTTATTAAAAGAGAGATATTTTTTTGTTTAAGATAATTCTTATCATGAAAGTATTTAATATTTTTTGTTTCTTATTAATTCTATCCTTTCACTGAATACAGACAGTTATATAATAAAAACGATCAACAATTTGAAAGATGGCCTAATGCATACCCTTAAATTTGCAAAAGGGCCCCTAAATTTCCAAATGGGTTCCTAAAATTACTGCCCCCCCCCCACATCATTGGGGGTTTAAGGAAGCCTAGCCACAGCTCTGATGATACAATTGTTCAGTTTTTACTTACTGTAGGTGAAGATGATTTGGCAAAAGATAATGATTCTATTAGATGTGGTATTTCATATTTGTCAGATATATTTGAGAAAATGAACCAATTAAATCTAAAGCTACAAGAACCAAATTTCAACTTAATTGAAGTTAAGTTAGCAGTGTTGGCAATTATGAAAAAGCTAGAAGTGTTGAAAAAAAACATAGGGCGAATTGAATACAATCAATTTACATAAATGCAGTCCAGATTAATGTCACAACACTTCAGTGACAGTGATTTACAAATTTATGGCACACATTTAGACATGTTCAACAAAGACTTTGAATGCAGATTTGAAGGTTTGGTAAAATTGTTAATTTCGGAATGGGTTCAATCTTCATTTCTTTGTTGAGTAAGAGATAGAGTTGAAGAAAGATTCGATTGAAATACAGAATAATTAAATGTTTAAAATGATTTTCCAGAAGATGGAGTTGAGTAGTTTTTGGATTCAAGTTGTTGAAAAATACCCACAGTTTTAGACAAAAGTAAAGCTATTCATTTTAGTCTTTCAATCATTCTACCTTGTCAAAACTGTATTAAATGCAGTAAGTTTTTGACAAAACAAAGAAACAAACTTGATATTGATAAGGCTACTTCTATCAAATTTTTAAGCAGATATTATAAAGCTAGCTAAAAATCACAATTTTCTCATTATTAAAACACTTTGAAAATGAAACACTGATATGATATTTCTGCTGATTCATTTATGTATGTTTAATTAAGTAAAATACTTTAAAAAATATATATATTTATACATTTTTTTCCTTTTTATAGATAGGTGGGCGGTACAATTTAGTGGTTAATTGGTAGGCAGTAGCATTAAAAAGATTGCAAAACATGTTGTAAACGGGTATCATACAACTAATTCATATCAACAATATTTGCTCGTAACACTATGATATGTGCTTACAAATACGATTTTTAAAACGTGGTTATCTTTATTGCACCTTTTCCCTTTATTCAATCCGAAAAAAAATGTAAACGCTGCAATACATAAATCTAACACTATTTTTAGAATCCTATGCAAAATTTTATTATTGTTTACTATGGTTAATTTTAGGTTGACTATGGCAAAGATCATACATTATATGCTTTAAGAGAAGGTCATGTTAAAGTAACAAAAGAACTTGTGCATAGGCCTCCGTGGTGCTCGCATGGCGAAGGGCCATATTTTGAAAGAACATTTGTTCATGTTGCAGAACGTCCAAAAGTTCGAAAACTTGTTTGCTTGAACCCCGAAAGTTTAAAGCATTTACTTATTTAATTTGAAAGTCTTTAGAATAAAATGAATAATACAAAAAAAATTATTTTAAGTTTACAAAAATTTTAGTTCATGAATGTTTTTTTTACCATTTTATTTTTGTTATTATTATTGTTATTATTCTTATTATTATTGTTCATCGACCTGATGAACCTACTGATGGAGAAACAAGTTGTTGAAAAAAAAATCTAGATAAGTGTTTTTACTAATTAATATATATATATATATATATATATATATATATATATATATATATATATATATATATATATATATATATATATATATATATATATATATATATATATATATATATATATATATATATATATATATATATATACATAAATTAGTAAAAACACTCATCTGGAGTTTCTACTTATGTAGAAGGACCAAACAAAAATGCATGGTAATTTTATTTATGGGAAATATTATATATAAATCTGTCTATAAAATCGCAAATTTATGAGATTTTTTCCAATTATTACGCGTTACGGTAACTTAAACTATTTTTAAGTTTTTTGAAAGAAGCATAACCTATATGTTTCATAAAACGCCAAGCAAAATTCACAAAACTAACTTTTTATAAAATTATTATTAAAAAATATATATTTTGTTATAAATATATTATTGTTTTTTTGTTTCTTTTGGTCGCCTTCCTTCAAACTTGCTTTTGTAGTTGTTTAGGAATAAAAGCAAAAGTTGTCTTCTCTTTACATTCTAACAAATTCATTGTTGTCTCTTATGAGCTTAATAGTTCTTTCATTGCAATCATTAACTTTTTTTTATTTATTACTATTTTTATTAATACTATTATAAAAATGATTTACGGTAAATAAACAGCTCGTTGTTGTTGTTGTTGTTAAGAACAGTAAGATGAAGAACAGCATCCTGAAATTTTAGATCAAAGTATTGCAAGTGGAACATTTAAATGGATGAGGGTTCATCCATTGGCAGTAACTTTTACTTTGACTTATCATAAGAAATACAAGTCACAAATTTTTTGTGAAATCTAAAGAATTGAGGACCTTAATGTTGGCTCTCATTTGGGTTGATGGATATTCTTTCTTCACATTTTTCATCAGCTAGGACTATAGCACAATAAAACAATTGCCCAGAAATCATGTGTGAATAGCATAGAATGGTCTTAATGTAAAATAAGCATGGAATAATCTTGATGAAGAGAATCATGTAAGTTTTTATATAATTGGTTACCATTTTTGTAAAGTACCGTAAGATTGGGTGGCTTCGGCCCATTTTGCATCTTAATGTCTATTGCATGAAAGCCACAAAAGTTATTTCCTCAAACACTAAGCATTTTTAGAATTGCATAGAAAGGACAGTTAGAACTATCTGTCTCCCATTTGAAAATTATTTACCTGAAGTATCTTTTGGGTGGTTTAAATGGTTGGCCAAAGTCGCCCTATGTGTTAGGGTGACTTTGGCCCAACCCTGTAAAAAGGAACTAAAGGAAGCAAAGCAACAATAAAAACAACAATATTTAGGCAAAGAAAATAAATTTACAAAAATAAAGTGACAAAAAAAGATTTAGTAACTAAGTTCTTGTATACAGTAAATAAAATATAGGTACAAACTAAACAAGTATAGGTACCAAGTAAACAAAAATGACAAAAATAATGTTTTAAAAAATTTAGTGAAAAAGTTCTGGAACTGAATAAATTCCTTATTTCAAAATTTTCTTTGGTTCCTCAATAAAATCGACTATTTCAGACTGGGGGAAAAAAAGTTGCTCTGCTGGTAGTGACCATTTCCAGTTAAGTCCATTTTTTTTCATAATAGTAATTTCTGCTCCATTTTTTCTTACTTTTTTCAACTGCAGAAAAAAAATTTCGAAAGTTTTTTTAAAATTTTTCAGTAGTTTCATTAAATAATTTTAGTTATTAAATTAATTAGTTATAAAGTTTACTAATTGATTAGCTAAATATAGATAACTCAAAATAAATGAACAAACCTGTCCAGGATTTAACTCTCCATTGCATTTAACAATTACATAACAATTCTCGACTAGATTTTATAATTTCTCCTTTTTACAAACATTTTTTGTTTTATCAATATTTTGAAAGTTCTTTTTGCCTAATGTTGAATGATCTAAAGATTCTGAATGACTTTCTACAACTAAACTTACATCTGCAAAAATTAGGTTAGAAGTCTCAGTAGTTCCAGTATTTGTACTTGGGCCAGCAAAATCAATGTTGTCGGTCTCAATTCTATTTATAATACTAATAGGTGTATCTACATTATTTGAATTTAATCTATTATTTTCATTTATAACACACGATAATATATCTGTTAAACATAAGCTTTTACCTGGGACAGCACATACTTTACGTCGCTTTGGTTTTTTAGAACCATCTGAGGGATCGTCCAGTGACTTACGTAAATGATCTAAAAATGATTGGCTTACTAAATCAGTAGTTGAGTCTAAACCCACATTACAACATGGTAGTCGTGAAAGCACTTGAGACTTGTCTAATGGAAAAATTCCAGTATAGCGAAAACCAGCTCTAAGATTATCATTCCCATGTTCATTTAAGTTAATAATTAAACGGTCTAAAAGTCTAGGAAAATCATCTTTAGGAAGAGAAGCAACTCTCCTTCCTTTTCCTTTCTCCTTCCATTCGCATAATAGTTTGCGCCAGTTAATCTTCATAGGTCTAAAGTAGGCAACATTTAATGGCTGCGTGAGATGTGTAGAGTTTGCTAGTAATGCCACAAATCCTATGTTATTGCTTTGAAATGAATCCAGTACTGCAATGCTCAAATGTGACGATACGTTATCACCTATATTGACACTTCTTCCTTGAGCCTACTTAAGTCTTGGAAGTAGTAAAGAGAAAAACCAGTCCTCAAAATATGTTGAGTCAAACCAACCACTTTTTGATCTGTTATAACGTGCTTTTGGTCGCCCATGTTCCATCCATGTACAAACTGTTATACTGATTTTCTATTGCATTACTTCTCAGTGACGTTCCTAGTTATGGTGTCACCCGGGGCGGCAAATAGGGTGTCACCCATATATTATAAGTAATTATTTTTATATACGAAATTATTAAAGCAGTATTTAGAAACGTTGACACATGTAATTTTAAACCTTGTTTTCGACAATAATAATTTAGTGTCTATAACTCTCTATAAAGAATTCTCGTCTATAACAGAGAAAATAATTATTTGAAAATAAATTGTTGCCAAATAATTATTATCTCTGTTTTAGACGATAATAAACTATTATCATCTAAAATCGTCTAAAATCAGCTTTATTCTTTTATATGCTTAAAAAAACAGTAGTACCTGGATTTGATTTGATAGTAAAGTATAATAATAAAATAGCAAACCTACTGAAAGAAAGAAAGCTAAGCGATTATATTTTCTAAATAATGATAACTATATCTTTCAGCATTCAGCATTTCGTAGGTCGTGTAAATAAATACCCACTTATTTTTTTTATGTAAGACTTTTTAATTATAAACCAAAATAAAATATAAGATATTAATAAATTGGGTAACACCCAAAAGTGGATGACACCCGGGGTGATGAGCCCCGCCCCTCCCCCTCTTCCGAAGGTACGCCACTGTTACTACTACAAAATTTTTCATTCCAACATAGTAACTACCATAATATCTATAAATGATCACTAAAATAAGTGTACTCTAATACATGGGGTGACTTTAGCCCGGGCTAATGTCACCCTATGTAGTGGGCCAAAGACAACCTATTTTTTTTTAACCTCAATTACAAAAAAGTAATAAACTTTTAAGCTTTCAAAACAAGATAGAATTAAACACTAATAGTTTAATATTAATTCAGTGTATATTCCAATAAAAAACCTTCTACAGGTACTGCTATCGATGTAAAAGTTTACACACCTAAAAAAATTCGGATTTCAGGTGTTTCTTCTAAAGTGCAATTTACAATAATATCACAAAGACTCGAGTTAAGTAAACTAAGTTAGACTAAATAAATAATAAATTTCCCACAATTTGCTACTAATCATCAACCGGCATACCTTGAGGTATCGATTTTAAACCATTTTTAAACAAAAATTTCGCTTGGGCTAAAGTCATACCGTAGGGCCAAAGCCAGCCAATCTTACGGTACTGTTTTTTTCTAGCACTTGTATATTTTTTTTCACTTTAGTGCCCAAATTTCTTTTTCTAAAATTTTGAGTAAAACGGTGTTGAAAAGATTATGGATTATTGAGGAAACTTTATCAAAATATTAACAGCATTGATTCTCTAAAAAGTAGCTAGATAACTCGAGATCTGAATTTGTTGGTATTTATGACATATTTAATTTGTAGCAATTTATTCTCGAACTTGCTGATAGCTAGAAAATAATTTTTTTTCTTATTTTCTAGCTATCAGCAAGATCTATAAATTTTGTTGATTGCTTGATTCTACAGTAATTGCTCATATAGTTCATATTAAATATCTCACATAGTTCATATTAAATATACACAAGTATCTATCCATTTTTGTGAAACAAAAAGTAATATCTTTTTTAATATCTTACTCTTAGCCTCCGTTAGCCCTTCATTTCTGGATTCTTTTTTTTTCTTTTTTTTTTTTGATAGGCAGTTATGCACAAATATTTTTAAAACATTTTATAATTTTTTTTACTTTAATTTTTGCATAAGTTTTAATAAATAAATAAACAAGACAAAATATAATACAACAAATAAAGTAACAACCTAAATCACCTGAAAATCTTTCAACATTAAGAATTAATAGAAATAGAAAATGAAGTATGAGTTTCACAGTTTATATAAAACAAGGAATAGTAATAATTTGCTAATAAAAAATGATTTTCACAGTTTATATGTTTGAAACAATGAGTAGAATTATTTTGCTATTGAGAAATTATTTACACTTAAAAAATTTTAAAACAATAAGTTAATATTTTAATCATAACTTCAAAACTTTTATTTGAATAAAAGCTCTAGTTTTCTGTCTCCTTTGTATGCAAATATTTCAATAACTCTGTTAATACTAGGAACTATTTCCTGATGAATAGATATTAACGCAA